CATTTGGCTTAATAAAAGCTATTGCCTCTCCCTACAAACCCCGTTTTCTCTCGCACAACATGGCTGCACAGATAATGGCAGTTGTTTATATCCTCACAAATTTGTGTGACTGTAACAGCTACCTCTCAGACTTCAGAAGTAGGCATCGAAGTCATGGGGAGCATCAATTCTTATCACGCTGCCTCCTCGCACACAGAGAAAGCTCCGAAGGTGCGAGAAGTGCCACGACAATCCTTCCCCCGTGCCCCACTTGGGCAACGAGCCCAAGTCCCCGTCGCTGGGAAGGGCAGAGTTAATCACACCCTCTAAACGTTCAGGTCTACAGAGCCCTTCATTTTATTTTCCACTCCCTCTCCCCTTTTTTTTTTTTAATCACTTAGACTTTTTTTAAAAGACAAAAGGAAGGCACCATGTGAAAACATCACTATGGAAACATCACGGGCTTACTTGTGCTTGCCTGCCAAGTGACTACCTAACTGAAGTTTTACATCCTATTGGATCACTGTTGGCCATCTGCTCTCCTTCAAACTTCTCTGAATTCCTCATTTCCCCGAAAAGTTCATTTTTAGAAAGGAAGGAGGAGGAGGCAAGGGGAGAATCCGGCATTCTTGGCTAGCTCAGAGCTATTGTGAAAAAAGGAAGATAACCTCACTTTGGGGCAGCCCCTTAAAAAGACAAAGATCCATGTTTTGCAAAGTAATTTCCGAGAAAATACCCCATTTATAGATGCACTTTAATGATAAGAGTATATATTGGCAGCCAGGAGGCAAAACAAACAAACAGCTGCTTCTAGTACTCTCACACTAATTGTCTTCCTCTCCCCTTCTCTCATTTAGTGTCAAGTGTATTTTCTTCTAAAATCTAACAGTTACTGCCTACACTGGAGCTGCTGGCTGCAGGCTCCTCAGCCTTGCTCCAAATAAAACACAGAAATAGATTTCCTGCCAAGCACCGGGGAAGTTTGAAGACTTTAGTTTTTAAAAATGTAATCTTTTTATCAGTGCCCTGAGCCTGCCAAAGGTAATTATGGGCCACGGCGCATTTACATTAATGCATAGGACCTACAGACATTTCAAAAGCTTAATGGAGAAACACGCTGAATGTACATATCGAAAAATAAATTAATTAAATTAAACTGTCATGTAAAGATATCACTTAATTTCGCAGAGCGGAAGGCGCTCTTAATGGGAATGGAATGGATCAGTGAGCATTTCAAAACCCAAAGCTATAATTTAAATTGAGGCTCTCCTCTAGCGTGCGAGTCACAAGACATATTTATTACAGCTTTGGATCGTCAATCGTAATCGGTTTAGCAGAGACAAAGCCGTGCTGGTTTGCTTCCTTGCCCTCCCTAGCTGCTGCAACGTATTTTGATGTCAGACTATTGACAAGCAAACCAAAAGCTGAAATAAAATCATGTTTGCTTGTATGAGCTGGCAAAAATGCAGTCCAAGGTAAATGCAATGCTGAAGATCAAGCAGTAAGGGGAAAACGGTGACGCGAAGTATTTAAACATCTTTCCATAAACCTGTGGAATCTATTTTCTGCTGCTCTTGAGGCCTGCTGTGTGGCACCATAGATACAAACAGATAAAACTAAGTAAAAGCAATGGGAATATTAACAGCATCATTTATAAGCCACTGCTCTGAGTGTTCCAGGTGGCAGTAACAACTGAAGTCGTTGCCCTTGACGCACTTTTAGGGCTAGTGCCAAAGCCTGAGCCCCAGGTCCCCAGCAGGCAGACAGCAATGCTCTTGGTCCCATCAGCTCTTGATTCCCGGGGTGCCTCTGGCATGGTTTGCTGCAGAATTTTATTTGATAGCAACCGGTCCAAACCAAGCCTGTGCTTCCACAGCCATGAGCAATTGTCTCCTTCACGCTGACTAAGTGTTCCAAGAATGGTCCAATTTTTTTCTCACATTCTTCTCCTCTTGGAGAGGGACTTTTTCCAAGGGCATGTAGTGATAGGACAAGGGGCAATGGCTTTAAACTGAAAGAGGGGAGATTTAGATTGGATATAAGGAAGAAATTCTGCACTCTGAGGGTGGTGAGGCACTGGCACAGGTTGCCCAGAGAAGTTGTGGCTGCCCCATCCCTGGAAGTGTTCAAGGCCAGGTTGGATGAGGCTTTGGGCAACCTGGTGTAGTGGAGGGTGTCCCTGCCCATGGCAGAGGGGTTGGAACTGGATGATCTTTGAGGTCCCTTCCAACCCAAACCGTTGTGTGATTCTACCATTCTTTCTGTATTCTCCAATTCTCTTTCCTAAGTTCTTTTTCTGATCTGGACCACTGAAACTGGTCTCCTCACTGGGTTATAACTGCCTTCTTCCAGCCCCTGCACTGAGCTTAGCCATGGAGATGTTTCTCTGAGCCTGAACCTAGAGCCCTCTGCCCAGAATCTCCGTAATTTCTTGTGGAGCTCTCCAGTTTGTGAATCCAACTCTCAACGCTCACACT